TTCACAGTTTTTCAATAAAATCACCACTTGTTTTTCACCAAATTAATTGATATACCCAATATTTATTTTTTCATAATAAAATGGCAAAAATATTTATAAATATTACGTTATTTCACTGATCTATAATATTTTTGAATTTCACAATGATCCAAATATCGACTTTAACTGTCACATCTGTCAAATCCAAAGTATTTCACTTGAAACTTCGGTACTTTATGTGTCGGCAATTGGACGATTTATTCCGGAATAATATAGAGTGAAAAATGAAAAATAAATATAATTATTTTTCTTTATATTTTCAATATTTCTGTTCATTAACTAAATTAAACTATCTACAATTCGCAGACATATATTTTTTTCCAAAATAGTTAATTCTTCATATAAAAAAATGCATGGTTTGTCTCAAAATGACATAGTTTAACTTTTGACGTGAAAAAGTGATAAAAATGCCGAATTTTTAAATTATAATTATTAGATTATAATAAAGAGATTTGATATTGATCTTATATAATTTACTTTTAAAAATGCAATCAAAATGAATTGTCAATTTTTAATTTCAATTCACCGGTATTCCGACATTTGGTCGTGTGTCGACATTTGGCAATGTACTGTATACCATTTAGAAGGAGTGATTACACAAAGTTTGTACCAATTAATTATATGTTAGCAACATTCAATGATTATTATACAAAAAAAAATCCAAACAGTGATACTAATTTAATTGATTTAGGAGTCAATTTTTCTACAGTAAAACTGAGAATTGAAAAATATTTTAAACAAAATCGATGAATTTAAAACATAAATGAAATAATTTGTAATATAAATAATTATTGTTAATCTCTTTCAAAACTGCTTGATGTAAGAATTTAATTATATTGTATTTATTTAAATTATTTTAAATAAACCACCAAAGAACGCTGTTCGGTGCAGCTATTATTATTATTAAGTAAACCACCAGGCGAAAGAACGCTGTACGGTGTAGTCATTATTATTATTGTTGCTGGAAATTTTATAAACGCTGTAAATACCTATAAATATTTTTGCCGAAATCAATGTGATTCAAGAAAATAGTCATGACGCTGATATCTTATGTTTCTATGTTGTCGATTGTTAATATATGAGTTTGTGGATAAAATTTGTTTTTATTTGTAATACTTACAGCTATATTCAGCCAATCGATGAGACATTTGTTTGATCGTTACGATATTGTTGATTTTCAGCAAAAATAAAAACAACAGGAGAGAAAGAAAATGAAAATTAAATTAGTTTCAATTAAAAGTGGATTAATTTAAATGCTAATTAATCAATAAAAATAATAAAATGAAAAACCTCTGTCGAGGACCTCGACTCGAAGTACAGAGCGAGTGATGAAACCAAAATTTGAAAATAGAAGAAATACATGATATTTCTATTGGTGAGGTCTAAAAGAACGCAAGTGTGTTCGACTTTGTCGCGATAAAGGAATGTATGTTTTGCGCCAAGTAAATTTTGAAAAAAGAGAGTATGTATTACGGCTGAATCAGTTGTTGGAAAAGGGATGCATGTTTCAGTTTTGTTGGTTTGGATAAAAGAACGCAAGTGTCTTTGTTCTGGAAGTGGGCTTTGGTGGATCCTCAGGATCATCAGAACCGCTCCCAGTTCTGGAAGTGGACCCTCAGGATGGGCCAGGGCATTGTCAAACCATAGTCTGGTCCATCCTGAGGATCCACCAAAACCCACTTCCAGAACTGGGAGCGGTTCTGATGATCCTGAGGATCCATCGAAGCCCAGTTCCAGAGAAATCATCGTTAAACATGCATCCCTTTTTTAACAACTGATTCAAAATCACTTACTTTCCTTTTGCAAAATTTATTTGGTGCGAAACATGCGTTCCTTTATCAGCAACTGATTAAGCCGGAAAACATACTTCCCTTTTACAAATTTTTTTTGGTGCAAAACATACTTTCCTTTTAGTAAGACAGAATTGGCAAAACACATACATTCCTTTTCCAAAATTTAAAGCGAAAAAAAAACATACGTTCTTTTAGATCTCACCCATAGATGTATGGATGTGGATATTCCATTCGGACCAAAAAAATTTACACCGGTCAACAGATATTGCTCAAAAACTAATCAGCACGTCTCCTAGTAGTCCCAAAATCATCCTGCAACGTCAGAATTTAAATTAAAATTTTGGAAGAAGATTTATCGTGTTAACAAATTTTGCACGCCACAGGACACAGGACACATCACACACAGCGACGCACATTAATATGCCCCAAAATCATCTCCAATCGTGTTTTCTACATGAAATATGCATAGAAAACATATTTTGGGGTGACTTTAATTTTTTGGCCTAATACAATACCTTTCCTACACTAGGTGTGCGGAAAAGTAAAACTCTATAAACCATGTAATCAAATCACGTTCCTTAATAATGATTCATATTATTCTCTGTATTAAATTGAGTCTGATTCTATTTGAACGATTTGATAACGATAATGATAGTTTACTTATCTTTTACAAAAGAGAAAAGCTTTTTTATTTATTGAAAATTACGTGTAAATATCAATAGATTTGATTTAATAGTAAATGTGAATATTTTCAAGATATTCTGAAATTCCAATCTCTTTCTATGTGAATTTTTGAATTCATGACTAAGTTTCAAAGTGTGATGTAGTGCCATGTATCGATTGTATCTGGTACTGGTTCAGCTGTACCCCATTCAGCTGCTGAATGCATAATCTGATCAGCTTCTGCTTGAGGAATAACAAATGGTGAATCATTCACAGCAGTGTTTATCAATGAGATCTTATCACTTTCAATGTTTTTCATGATCAATGATTTCCAGAAGGCATGAGTTTCTCGAACAATTTCATTGGCAAATGTTGCATTTTGTGCGGTATCGTTGAATGCAATTTCGTTTGGTGGTTTTCCATCGGGAATTTTGTAAATTTTAAACCAATCAACGGTTGCCTTTAGAAGGCCTGGAAAAACCTTTTCAACATCTGTAATTTCATTGACTTGGTTCGCTTTTGGATCGTTTACATCAATGGTTATAACTTTCCAGTCAGTTTCACCTTCATCAATGAGAGCCAAAATGCCGAGAACCTTAACTTGTAACACTTGAGCGCGCTTGGCAACACGTGATCCAATTTCAATCACATCAATTGGATCATTATCACCTTTGCATCCGGTCGATGGATCTGTGTGTTGAGGATTTTCCCAGGTTTGTGGAAAGGCGCCATAATTCCAAATATAGCCATGATGAGGGAAACAATTCGCAACATATCGCAGTTTTTCTTTCTTTACGTCTTGTTTGATGGGATTGAGCGTTTCCGAAAGAGATATTTCCATTTTCGATTGCGTCCAACGTGGGATTTCCACCACCATATTATACACATTTTGCGAACCGTTTACAAACAATGGTATGTCGTGCATCGGTGAAATTGCGTGCCCATCTTGATTGGTATAATATATACGATAGTTTTTTGAATTTGGGGTGCCCTTTTCAACGGCAATGTATTGCACTCGATCACTTTGAGCTGATTGAATGGTATAGGCTGTCATAAATTTAAATCCACCTAAATTATTGCGATTCAAATCACTGAAAGAAAGATAATTTTTTTTTTACCAAATAGAAGTATGCCTAAGCATAGTGCTAACAAAGTGCCGTTCATTTTATACAAAGTTACTATTTCTTATTATGGGAAAACAATTAATAGTAGACTGATATTTTTTTGGTGAATGCCAATTATTATATTGTTCGCTTATCTTATCTGTCTGTGTTCACTATCTATACTAAACAATTTACCCTTGAAAAAAGCAATTGATAAAGAACTCTCAACAACAAATGATTTATAATAAATTCAACTTTATTGCACAATCAAAGTAATGAAAA